AAAATATAATCACACACATAAAATATCACAGATACACTCGAATATCGTTCATAATCTCGAAACATAATCACACAACACAAAAGATCACAAATACACTCGAATGGTCATTTCTATAGTTTTATCGCGCGATGCCGTTTATGTCATCATCAAGAAAAGATGAAATAAATTCCTCTATCGCATGGATAGCACACACAAATCACACAATGGTCACAGCAAGTATATTTGCTAGGTGGCCCACACTCACATGAATACCAATCCATGTCTAAATTAGGTTTCAAACTCTATTCATATACAGGTTCACCATGCCCGCTGAACTTCAACCACACACACACACTCTCCTCCTCGATTCAGACTAAACAATAAGGTATTCAGGGTCCCTACCCTATTTATTCCTACTCTCTCATTCTAAAATTTTTAGTTTGTTTAAATGATCATTTCTTAATCTCAATTATTTATTTTTCTTTCTATTTTTACATTTTTATTTTATTTCTTTTTCTTTTTAAATTTTTTTTAATCAAAAATTTTCCATTTCAATTTTCAATTTCATCAGTCCAAATAATTCAGTCTAAATAACTCTCAGTCCATTGGTCTGTTTTATAGTTTCGTCTCCTCATAAGATTCCAATTGCTTAAGTCTACTGATCATAATTTGGATTCTATTTTTTATCAAAATTTAGATCAATGTATGTTCAAATTTCAAAATTCATAATTTAATAAAATAAATGCACTTTTTTTTTTAATTCGAACCCGTTTGAGATTTAGAAATATTTACCCTCCTACGTGTCTTCCTGGATCTGCCTAAATGTCTAAATTTTTCTGTACACACGACATAATTGATTAAAATACTTCGAAATACTAAAAATTAATTTAATCAAATTATGGGTTCTAACAGCCACCCAACAGAACATCCAAAATTATCAGAATCTGTATCCGAAAAATCTTTCGGCTTCCCGTTCGGCGAATCAGATTCACGTTTTTTGAGAAAAATTTTCATCTTTCCGAACGGTAAATCGGATTTTCATTTTTCGAGAAATACTTTTTCAACTTTCCGAATGGCGAATCAAAACCCAAAATGGTGGATTAGGTTCCCATGCTCGATGAAGACCATTTAGCTTCCCAAATGGGTCGACTTTCCCCATTTATGAGGAAACCTCCTCGGTTCCCACATGGGTGGGTGGCCCGACCAAGCACACACGGCCAGCTCGACACTAGCCCCACCCCATCGCCGCTCAACCACCATTGAAACACGAAAATGTAACGGTTTCAGCTTTTGGCGTGGGCGATTTGGCCTCGGCTTGGCTCCCAGTCACCTCCTCTCGATCACCCCACGGCTCCCTAGCTTAGTTGAGACTCGAATGTGATTTTTCAAACCAGTTTTTTAGATACCAATGTTGTGTGAAGCTCGCTTTGGATTCTGCCATCACGCGGTGCTCCTTTTCTTCTTCTTCTTCTTCTTCTTCTTCTGCGATTCTCTCTATCTCTCCTCTCCCCTTGCACGACCGTTCTCAGCTTCCCTTCTTTCAACTCGGCCACCCACTTTCTATTCCTTATTTTTCCCTTCCCCTCTTTCTTTCCGACCTCTGTCTTCTTTCCTCTCTCTTCTCATTCTCTCAGCTTCCCTGCGTGATTGTCTTCCTCTTTCTCTCCTCGATCGCTACTCTCTCTCTTTCTCCCTTTCTCTTTTTTGGCTTCTCTCCCAAATGAAGGAAACCCTAATCTCTTCCCCCTTTATACCTGTTCCCTCAGTCGTTGGATCTTCATGACTCGATCTGGATCATCCGTTTCCCTTTTAAATCTCAGCCGTCTGATCTCCTCAAGCGATCCAATCTGGACTGTCCATTTTTTTATTTCCTTTGCCCCCTTCCACTTCTACTTATTTATGTTTTTATCCCTTTTTTTCTTACCTACTTTCATTTAAGTCCCTAATTAATTAAAAGCCCCCATTTTTGAAAATTTCTTTCATTTATACCCAACTTCAAATTTTATTTACATTTCTTTTCTTTTAAGTGAATATTACACTAATATACTTAAACTCCACAATAAATACAAAATATGTAATACCCGCGCCAAAACAAAAAAAAAATTATTTTTAATTTAATTTGATTAAATTATTTGAGAAAAATAAGTTAGAGAAATAATTGAAAGTAATTTTGAGAAAACGATGTAAATATTTGATTTCGGGTGGTATTTTTGAAAGAAAAATTAGAAAAAGATAGTCAAAATACAAAAAAAAAAAAATTGGTCACGTAAGATAGCCCAGTCAGCAGCCTCAATAAACTGGAACTCGCCGCGTGAAAAAATACGTTGACGTCAGTGCCACGCAGGACGCAATGGAGACGATCTGTGTGCCCGGTGATTCAACGGCCCAGGTTTGATCCCATACATGTGAACAACTCCGATTCGTTCCTTCTTTAGGTATGATCGGATGTACGAGATCAATCGCAATGAACAGATTAGATTTACCCACATAACCGGCCTAAACAGGTAATGATCTGACAGCTCTCCTCACTCCACGTCAACGCGAATGGATGACCTAGATCGACGCGATATGTGTATAAAAATATCGTGTCGTAAGAGAACCCTAACCCTAGTCGTCCTACCCTCACCGAAGAAGAAAGATCAGCCGTTGGAGAAGAAGTCTAACCGCTGACTGTCGCGACACCAGAGTCACCGCCGACAGTAAAAAAAGGTAAATTTTTTCCCTACCCGCTTAAAATTTGATTTTGATCCTTCCTGTGGCCATATCAAAGCAAGAAAGACGACGGGTGAGCCAAAAATTACGAACAAAGCCTGGTGGAGCCACCGCCACCGAAACCAAAACTCACTTCAAAGAGCCCTTTTTCATTTTTCATTTCACACAATTTTTTGATCATTGTATTCACTGTCTTTTTATGTGCAGATTAACCGAAGAAGAAACCCTAGCCGTGAATGAGAATTAGCAGAGTCGCTGTACCTGGA